TTAGGGTTTAGGGTTTGGGGTGGAAGTTGAAGGGTCTCTTCTCAGGAGATGTTTTTGTTTTGTAGGGTCGGGGTTGAAAATTTAGAGCCTAGGGTTCGCAGTTTTTGTGGCCATGGTACGAGATCCGGGCTATGAATGCAGATTGGAGACTTCGCCTTTTGCCCAAGTTGGGAGTGACATCCCCAGCAGCCACATATCCGGGATTGTTTCAATCACTGCGACTTCTTTCAATGTGTGAAGGTCATGACAGGAGCCCCCCAAACTCATTCTAAGCCCCGTGCCGCATTAGGGGCCCGACTCTTGAGACACGCCCGGTAGAATGAAGAACGGAGAGAAGCAGGAGGACGTTTGCCAGGACTTAGAAGTTCAGAACACTACCAAGCTGAGTGTGAGGGGAAGTCTGTGCGATAAGATCTCTAGCATAAGACCCAACCAAATCAGCAAGAGTTACACAATTGAGCAAGATGCAACGCCCAAGCCCTACGAACGTCCTAGAAGGTCTTCTGAAGTCCCGCAGGCCGAACCACTAAACCCCAAACCCTTGAGGCCTCAACCACGAACCCAAAACCGCTAGACTCTGCAACTACACTTTAAGCCCCTAAATGGAATCTCAGCCCCGGCCCCCAAACCTTCTGCAAGGAGGCGGCAGAGGCAGAGGGTTCGGCCGCCCCAAGCCCGCCGACCGTCGGTGAGGAGGAGGTGCCGTCGGGGGTAATGAGTTAGGCCATTTCCTTTGTTGTTTCTGTTGCTGCTATGATGATTGCAATTACTTTTACTAGTACCAGTACCACTAATGGTTCTAATTTCTCTTACTCTTACTATTTCTGTTGCTGCTACTGTCACTATTACTATTACTATTCCTATTCCTATTGCTATTGCTATTGCTATTGCTGCTGCTGCTGCCGCTGCTTAGTGTGCTGCAGTTGTTGCTGCTGCGGTTGTCATCATCCTCGTTATCATCGCCTCCACCAATATCATCAGCTTCGCTATTGTTGTTATTTAGATCTTATGTTGGGCCAGGACGATTAGGTTCTTAGCATACGGAGGTGAAGAAACCCTAAACCCCTAAATCCCTAACCCCCGAAACCCCAAAACCTAAGCACTTATAAACCCTTAACTTAACCCTAAACCCTGAACCTTAAGCCCAAAAGGAGTTGGTGATCTCGCGGATATCGAAAGTGCTTCTTGCGGCTGTGCTTGCATTCGGATGACGAAGTGGGAATCGCTTTGGTGGTTTGGGGGTTTGTTTAATGTAGGGGCCTTCATAATTAGGTAGTTGTAATTAATAAGGAGCCCCCAAAATACTATTGGTAGTTAGAACAGGCTCTACATTCGGGTTTAGGGTTTAATTAGGGAAACCCCGAGGCCCTAAACTAAACCCAGACTGCCGCTGATTCACGTTGGCTTCAATCTGTCACTAACAGAGACGACTGGCCCGCTTGCGAGTCTTTGCCATGTTGTAACACTTTTTTACTAGGGTAAAAAGATACATATACGCACATGTGTATATATATATATATATATGTGTGTGTAATTATATGTTCATTTAATTGTTTGTTGTTTTGTTTACAGACATGCTATAGGAGATTTTATCAGACCCTAAGATGCCATGTTAATGTACTTCAAAAAGCCTTGTAATATACTACATAGTATACTGGTTCCATGCTTTCATGGGTCAACAGACGATGAAGGATCTGGGTTGTGTGGCTCTGGGGATTTGGGGGTTTATGGTGTAGGGTTTGGGGGCTTGTGGTGCAGGGTTTAGGGTGTAGGGTTTAGGGTTTGAAGGGCCCGAAGGTTTCGGTTTAGGTTTTCTCCTCAAGTGACGAAGCTCGGACGGTTGCCGTACCGTTCTCCAGTCAGGCTTCATTCCAATAGCCCAACCCGAGATTTAATCCTCAATTCCCGACCCCGAACCCTCAACTCGATATGTCAACAGAATGGGAACGCAAGGAAACAACCGAAGTTCGAGATGCCTACCCCTAAACCCTAAGCCCTAAATTCTCAAAACATCACTGACATGTCAAGAATGAGAGAAGAGGGATCTTTTGTGAAAGTGGCTTAGGGTTTAAGGACTAGGCCAGTTGAGGGTTTAGGGTCCCTAAACCCTAAACCCTATATTAACTATGGTCGTTAGGGATCAGGGATTGAGGTTTGGGGTCCAGGGAACAGGGATGCGGGGGGTTCAGGGATTAGCGGGCTTGAGGTTTAGGGATTAGGGACTGTGCTTTAGGGGGTAGGTTTGGGGGGTTTAGGGTTTGGGGTTTCGGGGTTAGGTTTTGGGATAGGGGGTTTAATATAGGGGCCTGAATAATTACCAATACTATTTTGGGGGGTCCTTGTTATAATTAAAGTATAATATACCCAAACCTAAGTTTTAAGGATTATTAAGGCCTCTACATTAGGGATAGGTTTGAAAGCAACAAGGGTCGGGTTGCTTCGTATAAAGGCGCGATTCAGGCACTGCCCATGTATGCCACGCCCCTGTCCTTAACCTGAACATGTTTGTGGGGTTTAGGGTTTGAGGTTTAGGGGCTAGGTTTTAGGATTGGGGGGCATTATCCCAAGCAAGTGGAGCCCCTAAATAATCCGAAAAACCCCGACCCCTAAATTGCCCTAAATAACACTAAACCCCCTAAATTACCCTAAATGACCCAAACCCTAAACCCTAAGCCCTAAACCCTAAACCCCGCGAGAAGGAGTTCAAAAGAAGCCCTTAGATCCTTCCTAAACCCGAAACCCTTACACACTACCTTTTAGGGTTTAGGGTCTAGGGGAGTAGGGTTCAGGGTATAGGGGTATAGGGGTTTAGGGTTTAAGGGTTTAAGGTTTAGGGTTTAGGGGTTCAGGGTTTACGGGTTTAGGGTTTACGGGTTTAGGGCTTTAGGGTTTAGGGTTTAGGGTTTAGGGTTTAAAGTCTTCCGCCCCAGTCCTAAAAGGCTGGGCACCCGCCGAAAAACCTGCAGAGCCGATTTTGTTTTTGCGAAGTTGGGTTTAGGGTTTGAGGTTTTTATGGTTTAGGGTTTAGGGTTTAGGCGAAGCTCAACGAGTAGGATTTGAACTGTAGACCTCTTCAACATCCTTATGACCCTTATACTTCGTTATACATCCCTTTAAAGGAGTAGCATGCAAAAAGGCAAACTGGACAAGCCACAATCAGCGACAACACCTGAGTATGAACTCAGGCTAGGCCCTATACCGCTCGAAACCTGAAGCCCGAAACATCCCTAAGCCATAGCTTGAAGCATTGCATTCAAACCCTGAACCCTAAGCCCTGAACCCAGGAATTAAAGAAAGCACGATCCTCTCTCCAACCAATGATCTGCCAAATTGTGGCGCCTTGCTTGCGATGGTGGTGTTTAGGCTTTTAGGGTTTGGGGCTTATAGGTCTTAGGTGTTTCTTTGGTAGCTGAGTTCGATATTTTGTGTTTGGCTTTCGGGGCTAATGTACAGTAAGCTCAAAAAACGTGGAAACCGGGTGAGGGACTATTAGTGTTGGGATTCCCTATGCACTACTCTCAAGGATTGAGGCTATTGGGTTTCCATTTGCAGGGATGGAAGTTCAAAGGTTTCTGTTGTTGCTTTGTGGGACCTCCAAAAGAGCAAAAGCTCTCAATTAAACCAGTGGTAATCCCTAAAATACCCTATGGATTAGCATTCAAGGATTTAGGACTCAGGGTGTAGGGGTCTTAAGCCCCTTAGCACAGCAAAACCTATGTAGGCCTAAGCTTCATCAGAGTGGGAGTGGCATTTGTTTGACACAGTCCCAACACACAGATCGCTGCCGTCGGGCTAATGCGGGCATGTGGCGCCACCAGCTGTTAGATAGATGGATGGGTCGATAGATGGAAAGATAGGTAGACAGGTAGATAGGTACGTAGATAGATAGACAGAATGTAGACAGATAGATAGATAGATAGATAGATAGATAGATAAACACATAGATGTTTCCATGTGTGTGTGCCCGCGCTCATGATGAACTGTACGGTACATGTACACACACATACTTACACATACATGTATAGGTATACATGTATCTATTTGCTTTTGATGGCATAATCTGAACGATCTGATATGACATGGTGAGATATGGTATGATATATTATGATTTGATCTGATATGGTCTGGTATGGTTAAGTATGCATGCATGCATACATGCATGGATGGATAGATGGATACATTGATGGATGCCTTGATGGATGGATGCATGGATGGATGGATGGATGGATGGATGGATGGATGGAGGTAGGTTGTAGGCAGGTAGGCAGGTAGGTGAGGTAGGTAGGTAGGCATAGAGCGAGAGCAACATACAGAGAGATAGCCTCTAGTTCACCTCAAAATGGTTCTTCGAAAGGGTGAGTTAGTGCCGACATGAACAGTTGGCAGATGTCGATGCGGGGCAGGAATTCAGGGTTAGTCCAGGGTTTATCTTCGGCAATCTGTACCCGCTTCGGTTGTCTCAACCCTAAACCCTAAACCCTAAACCCTTGTCTCAGCCTCATCATCTTGAGTTCAGGTTTGCGCCAGGTAACCCCTGGAATTTTAGGCGCCGTGATCGACCAAAAGAATTGGGTGCTTGGAGGGAAAACCCTGTTGAAACGGAAGTGTTTCGGGTTTGGGAGTTCAGGGTTCCACGGTTTAGGGTTTAGGGCTTAGGATTTTGGGGTTCAGGGCTTTCGATTTGGGGTTTAGAGTATAGAAGCTTGTAATCCAGCTGAAACGGACGCCTGTGATCCCCTCCCTGCCTTCCACGGACCCTTTCGCCCCAAAGCATCCCGCAGCACTGCGCGTTTGGGGTTCACGGCTTAGGGTTTATGTTAGGGTTTAGTCTAGGACATTTTCAGGTGGGTAGTTGCCGTTATAGGAGCCCTATAGAAGGTCTATATCCCTTATGGAAGCCTTATAGAAGCCCGATATACCCTAAACTCCCCACCTGTAGTTTCCTTTAATTTAGGGTTGTTCAAAACTTTATTCGTGCTTCGCTTGCAAGGGATCTCTCCTGCAATGGTGAAGACTTCCTGCCTCAATGGGTTTCGGATTCCGATACTTAGTGGCTGAGTAGGTATCCTTTAACTTTTTGGGGTTTATATAATCCTACAATAATTGAAAAGGTTAACCCTTTTTGGGCTAGGGTACTCAGCCCCTAAGGATCAATGTTGAGGTATATGGGTTAGGGTTTAGGGGTTTAGGGGTTTAGGGGTTTAGGGTTTAGGGGTTTAGGGTCTAGGGGTTTAGGGTTTAGGATTCCGATAAGTATAGCCGCGCACTTAATATGTGGTCTGTTGACGTTGCAAATTCCTGGAACAGTGGACCCTAAGCTCTAGCATGGTGGTCTGAATCATTTGCAATACGGTTGATGATATAAATCCTGCATTACCCATAATAAGGAATATACCCTAATTCCCATAGTTCAGGGTCCTTGAGGTAATGCAGGATTTATATCATCAACATTAGTATATATCCTCCCACAGCCGCTTTGTCATTCTGCCAGAATGCACCCGAAAGCCCTGTTCCGATCGTTAAGGCCTCTGTACTAATGTAGGGGCCTTACTAAGAAAAGGGTTTTGGGGTATGTTATACTTTGATTATATAAGGAACCCCCGAAAATAGTATTAGATACTATTTTGGATGTCCTTAATTGGTAATCATTTAGGCCACTATACTACGTCCGCAGGTGGCACTTGTCCAAAACGTTCTTTTCCATTCAGCCAACCACCCCAAATCTTCTTATGGAAAGATTTCTTCTTAGAAGCCCTAGTACTATTCCGCAGAATCCTGCATATTGTAGTGTCTATGGACACATGGGCCCCTCCCCTCCAAGGTCAGATGTCAGGAGGAACGGCCCCGTTGTGAGCAGTTCTTTTGCAGATTGGGATCAAGCTAATATAGAAGCCTAGCTAAATACCAGTATTACTGTCCGCGCTCCTCATTATAGGGCTTTGGGGCCCATGAAACCATCATTATAACAAGGAGCCCCCAAAACCGTATTGGTAATTACTTAGGCCCCTACATTAAATCCGAAAGCCCCCAAGCCTTCCCCCCTGAAGCCCCGAATCCCAAGCATTAATCCTGAATCCTAATTCTGCTCATGGGGCTATCTCTCGAAAGCGCAACTCCAACCTAGGGTTTGGGTTTAAGCGGCCTGGGGTTTAGTTAGCCCTCATAGAACCCTGACGTAAAATTTCAT